CGCGGCCGGGCCGAGCTCTGGGGCCCCAGGGAGAGCCGGCCTGCTGAAGCGGAGGAGGCGCCGGGGCGAGGAGCCGGCCTGACTTCCAGAGCCTCGCTGCGTGCAGTTGTGTGTGTGAGTGTGTGTGAGTGTGTCTCTGTCTCGCGCTGTGGGTCTGTGTGTATGGGAGATTGAATGAACCTACAGGACAGACGGAGGCGCTCTGGTGCCTGGGTCCTAGTGCGAGACTGTCACCATCCGACCGGTCAAAATAAAAGGTGGAGACAAGCGAGGCAGGGACCGCCCCCTGCCTGAATCCGCACCCTTCCCCGCCTCTCCCCAAATCTTAGCGCAAGTAGAGCTCTGTATTTTGATGAGAATGGAAAAAAAATACCTGATATCTCTAGTGCGCACCTGCCTAAAACATTTTTTTCTTCCCAGAAAAAAAATAGTATCTCGGGGCCAGGGTTGTGGTTTCAGTGGTAGAGTGCTTGCCTAGCATGCACGAGGCACTAGGTTCGATCCTCAGCACCACATAAATGTAAAATAAAGATATTGTGTCCACCTAAAACTAAAAAATAAATATTTAAAAAATAATATCTCCAAAAGCATCCAGCACAGTGCGTGGCACTCAGTAAGTTCCCCCCAAAATGGTAGCTGCTATGAATTTTTAAATATATTTTTAAATTTATTTATTTTATTTTTAATTAATTAACTTATTTATTTATTTTTTTATTTTTTAAATTATTTTTATTTATTTTTCCTTTTCATTTTGCTGCACTGGGAATCCAGGAACACCCTACTACTGAACTACATTTTTTTAAACTTTATTTATTTTAATCTCTTTTTGTTGTAGTTGGGCACAATGCCTTTATTTTATTTATTTATTTATTTATTTATTTATTTATTTATTTATTTTTATGTGATGCTGAGGATCCAACCCAGCACCTTGCACATGCTAGGTGAACATTCTACCGCTGAGCTACAACCCCACCCCACCCCCACTGAGCTACATTTTTATTTTTCATTTTGAAATAGGGTCTTGCTAAATTGCAGAAGCTGGTTCGAACTTGCTTCTGCCTCAGTCTCCCTTGTAGTTGGGATTACATGTTGGCCACAACATTCAGTTTTTTTTCTTTACTTCTTTTTCAATAAAGGCCCAATTCAAATGAGAATTGAATTATAAACTAAAACTCATTGCCCCATTCTGCTCTCATACACACATGCACACAGGCACCTGTGTGGTGTCTTCACACAGCTAAATGAAATCCCCAGGCCTCCCAAGTCCAGGTTACAGATTTACTCACTCCTTTGCAACCCTTAAAATGCAAAGTTATTTTGCAGGAAAGAGGAGGAGATGTAAGCATCTCTCCAAGTCCTCTGCCTAGCCTCTGTCCAGCTGTGCAAAGCTCACACCCCAGGCCCTCCACACTTGACTCCCTTTTATTTGTCAGAGGGGCACAAAGGCAGACGTAGCAGCCCAGGAACCACCCCTTACTCCTAGTTGAACTCCATCTTTTGGATCTCAAGACCCCTACCTATCCCAGTTGACGTGGTGGTTTCAATGTTGCTGCTGTCAGCAATCATGGATGCTTTTCAGGCCTGAGCATGTAGTGGGAGACACAGGAGTAAAAGAGGGTTGCTCTGGTGTCCTGTTGAGAAGACTCCCAGGTCTGCTTCATGCAGACTGTCTGAACTTTAGCAAATTCTTTTACCCCTCTTGGCCTAAGTTTCCACATCTTTGAAACCTCTGAGATTTGTTTGTGTGGATTAAATCATATCTGCATTTAGCATACTCAGTTCCATAATACCATCTTTTTCAGTCAGAGCCTGAGTCTCTGACTCTGATGTAACTCAAATGCAGTGAACAAGATTCTTCTACCCCTCTGTGGAAAGCATCCCTATGAAAAATCCATCCAAACACTGTCAACTTGCAAGATCATCTGGAATTTTCTTTCAGGGGAACCACACATGGAGCACACAGAGAATGCTGCCACCTGGAAGTGTTCCATGCCCTCCCCTAACCCCTTTCAGGGGCAGCTTCATGCACATCTGCCACAAAGCCTCTTACTGGAAATGGAAACTTTTTGGAAAAAAAACAAAAAAGGACAGTAAGTACATTTCTTTGTAAAATATAAAACATACAGAGTATGTGTACACACACCCTCAAAGAGCCTGCAAAAAAAGCCTTTGTGCACTTCAAAAAAAAAAAAAAACCTACTGCTGATATGACAGGAACAATCAGAAACTTTAAAGCCAATGCATTTACATTTTGAACCATATTATAATAATTATACACATACTCTTTGCTCATTTTTTCATGACAAATTTTGCATAGTTGATCCCTGCATCTTTTGGCTAGGGTGAAGTAGAAGCATCTAAGTGCTATGAGATAAAAGTTCATATTCCATTATCAGCATAATTACTGGCATTTTTTGTTTTGTTTCTATCAGAACCACAACTTGAGCTATCTGTGTTTAAATGTCCACAAATGTCTAAGGACTTTAGGAAGACCTTGTGCATAAACAATTTCAAACATGCTTCCTCCAATGCCATTTTGCAAACAAAACACAAAACAAAATTGATGCATCTGAGTAAAACAACTCTGATCTCCCTTGCCCCAAATGAAAGGTGATAGAAAGACAATGAACCAGCCAGCCCAGAGAAAACCTTGATTTCTCTTTAATTCCCTAGTGGTGGTTTGGGTCACGCATACAGTACTGCAACCCACATGTATGGGCACACCCACGGAGCCAGGCACACTCCACACGTGAGTGCTGAGGCAGGGGAAGGCTATTTTGTAATTATTTATTTATCCCTGTTCCATCTCTCATAGGTCTGTGAGCTTCAGAAAGCCCAGTGGGAATCTTCAAGCTGGGCTACAGATCTGACCAAAGCCAAAATAAACAATGGCTTGAAGAAAATCTACAAAAAAGTGCTGATTTGCACTATTCCCACAGTCAGCCATGCGCCCCCCCCACCATTCCCATGGAAAACACCACTGCTGGTGCCAAATCAAGTTGTCCCCCCATCATAGGGGCATTGTTTTTTGTTATTATGTGAGTTCTTAGCATCAGACAATGGCACCACAAGAGACACAGTGGAGGCAGGAGAAATGCCTTTTTGTTTCACAAAGTCTTTGCTATTGTACCCCCAGAGTCTTGCATACAGTTTGCTTGCATATATTCATTTTGGTAACATGTATGTGGAACGATGAATGTGCCTAGCTAAAGCCTGAAGCCCCTTCTTTATTTTTTTTTTCAGAGCCCATCAAGTGTTAAATCATATTAGCATTGCATTGCTCCCTCCTCCTTCCATCCCCCAATTAACAGATTTCTCTAATAAACTTTGGCCCCAGTAGAAAGAGTAGTGTTTCAAGGGTTATATCACGGGACAGGCATCCAGGATGCTGGGTTACAAGCTCAGCTCCATTCCCGATTAGCTTTGCTTCCCAGGAGGAGCCATTCAAACCCTTTGTAACCCCCCTTTCTCTGGGGCTTTGAATCCAAAAGTAAACTGGCCTCTTTGGAAACTTGCTGAGAATATCTGCAGAGAACAGGTAGGGGAGGAGAAGGCAGCCACCCCTATAAGAAGGTGTGTGAATTCTGACAGAAAAGCAAAAATGCCCAGTGAGGTGGCTGGCCCAGATAATCTAGGGTGCCTGTTCAGCCTAGGTCTTATTTTCCCAGCCTTCTATTTATTGGCTTGTTTGTTTGGACTATTTGTCTGTTGGGTAACATTTTTCCATTGGCCTTGTTTGCATTTTAAAACAAGATTGTTCTCTCTTTTATTTACCCCTCTTCCCCCCCAGACATTCTATATTCTTACATCAAAGGAATTGTTTTGCCTGTAATTATGTCTTTTATGTACACAGAGGCTGGTTAATTACTGAGAAGGGGGTGGGAGTGTTGCCTGGAGACCTCCCCACCTTGCATTGGGATGGGATGCTCTTCCCTCCATCATGGACCACTTGGGCCATCCCGGACTCTTTAGCTGTGCTCTTCCTCCCTCTTCCATTCTCCCCTCACTAGCTTTCTCTGCCTAAATTCATCACTCCAACCTCTAGCTTTTCCTTGGAGCTTGCCACAATGTCCCAGTCTCTTCCCCACACTCTTTGTTCTGTGGTCTTTGTACTCAGACTTGGTAAACAATCTTCATTGTCATTTGAATCCTAATCCCCAGAATTTTCCTGGCCTTTCTCCCCTCCCTCCCCCTCCGAACTTTTTCCCTTTGGAAAGGAATCATCCAGCAATGAACTGAGGAACTAGCTCACAGTTTCTTCTCTTGGGAGCCCTTATTTTTGCCTTCATCTGTTAGGAAGTCTCCAAGAAAGGCCCAGGAAGAGGGTAGGCACTATAAGACAAGCAGGATGACAGAACAAGGAGGACTCTGAGATTGCTTCTCCTATTGCCTTGAAAGTGCTGACTGGCCTTCTTCAACCACTCCCCATGTCCCAACCCCCACCCCCACACTCACCAGTGTGTATAGACAGGGGCAGAGGATAACTAGGCTCCACCCTAAACTGGAGCTCACTGAGAGTCACCAGCTACTGGAGCTTTATCTCTGCTCTCCTGAATTCTGCCCTCCTTTCTCCTGGACTTCTGAGCCTGGCAGTCCCTTCCTGGCTCAGCTGAGTCTAGGCTTCTCCTATCCAATGTCCAGAACTTACAGGGCTCATTAGACTACAAACTCATCAAGGGCAGGTGGCACACCTTGCTCCTCTCTCTCACCCCTGCCGCCACCTCCACCATGCATCTCCAGCCCCTGGTGTCTGGCACAGAACATGAGTGGCACAAAACAGGGATCTGGGGTAAAGGAATGAATGTCCTTTTCGCCTGGCCAAAGACTTGG